GCTTTCACTTGCCATGGGCTCATAACTTGAGCCAATTTTAGTTTTTCTTGTTATTTTACCTACTCTTCTACCATAGTGTTCCTAATCTTTCCAGTCTAGTTGATATTAGGAGGGCCTTAAATTTAGAAACTTACATTTAATTTTTATTGCCATGGTTTAAAAAGGTGGAGAAACTAGATTTAGAGGCAATGAGGTATAAAAAAAAAGAGAGAGAGAGAGAAATGGAGCTAACAATAAATCCTAGCTGCACCGCACTCTAGCTGGGTGCTTTGACAATGCGTAAGGGTGGGGCAGAGTGGGGGACATACTTACTGAGTGCCTACTTTGTGTCTGGTGCTTTACACGTGTGTTATTTAATCAACAACCCTACAAGGTAAGTTCCTTTATCCCTACTTTTATTGTGTCTTATTCATTTATGTTTTTAAAGCTTAGCAAGAAATGTATCCAAAATCTAAAGCTCAAAAAATATAAATAACTTTTCTAGAGTCTCAGAGCTTTAATAACAAAGCTAGGATTTAAACTCAGGTCTGTGCCACAGATTCAATAACTATTAAGTTCTTCTGCCCTGGAGAAAGTACAGGTATGGCAATTTGTACCGTCACAGTTAAAGAACTTAATTGCTTAGCTTAAAATGAAGGTTTAATTACCATTTTTAAATTGTGGAGATTCTCTAAGGAATTTATTGAATGATTATTGTCTAAGCCCACCAAAAACACTTAAAAATTAAAAGTTGTATATATTTTGGAGGATATATTGAATTTTTCTAGGTCAATCTCATTAATAGGGGCTATTACTTGTAAGGTGCTTTTCTAGGTGCTAGGAAGCTCAAATGAATGAACCAAAAGTCTCATGGTGCAGTGAGATTAGGCCAGAGCAGACAAGATACTCAGGTTGGATTTCTATGTAATTAGATAATAAGATGTGGTAATGGCCTGCAAGGGAGGTGGTCACATAGACCTGGAATTCTTCTAATGAACAAGGAAAATAGCCTTAGAAAGTTGCTAGAAGATAAAGAAAACCATCAAAACTAGACAAACCAAACTAGTGACATCTAACCTTTTAAGAATGGCAACACTCCAACAATCTCGCATTTTGTAATTCCTTCCTCAAGAAGCTACATGCCCGTAGCTATTCATTCGACCCATCTGTACTACATGAGCATTTTGTGTAAGAGTGTAGGACACCACTATCGCCCTTCACTGTCCTCACCACCTAAAACCCACTTTTCATTCCTCCTGTGGTCATATAGCTTCTAAACAGGTGAGCATAATTGGGTTATTTCAAGATGAACTTTGAGTCATGAGATTATAGAGGTGGCTAGAACGCTCCAAATTCATAAAGTATAGGCTTCTTCCTTCAACTAGGTGAATTGCAAAACTAGAGGTTTCTAACAATGGTTTTGGAGTAACCCAGACTGACTCTAATTGTGTCAGTTATTGCAAAAGACTTCATAAATTAAAAACATTCATTTATACATCCATATGAACAAATGTAAATATACTATCCAGGATCACATATTATCAGAAGTGATCTGTACGGTTTATATTAAAGACTTTATCTCTTAGGAGATGCAAAACATGCTTATTTGTTTTGTAATGTCTCTCTCTCTCTTAAAAGTGTGATATAAACCACTCGGCTTTGAACCAGAAGAAAATTTGGGGTTCCTTTCATATCTAATTCTTTTGAATCTACCCATCTTCGATGATGGGCAAATCTAACACTAACATTTCTCATTCTTATTGCCTACTAAAGTATATTTTAATTGGAAAAAATGTTATAATCTAAGGCAATAAAATAAAAACAATCTAATGAGTGTACTTGAACTTTTACTCTACTAATTATAACAGGAAGAATACTAATAGCCAGCTCTTAATAAGTGTTTACCATGTGCAGGATAAGTTTTCTGCATGCATTTTCTCATTTAATCTTTATAATACATGTAAAGATTACATGTGTACCAGGCGAATAAATTCTTTAAAAAAGAAATTAAAGATAGTTTTGGTTTATGCTAAATTCTTGAGATCCTCACCTGTACCACAAGTATTTCACTGAAGGAATGACAGAGAGGAAGCTGGATCTTGGGGGCCTCAGCTTTCCTAGCAGGTTGTACAGCCATAGCACTCATTATTTGGGGCATTTTCCTATGGTTCAAAAACAAAGTGGTGAAATTTTCTGTATCTATAACATCTTCAATGAGCAATTTATATCCTATTGTATTTCCTCCCATATGGTGTTCTAGCTCACACAGCACCAATGTTTTTAATTTGCCCAATATCATCAGTAAACTATTGTACTTTGAATTACTCTTTGCTGACAAGTATCCAAATTACCTAACACAAATGAGAAAATGCATGTATTATCTAGACTAGTTTGTTCTCTGATTTTCAGTGATAAATTTTCCAATAGAATCAATGTATTGTGCAGCTGAATGTGATCATAAAGTGATCTAATATTTCTTTTTACAAGTGAGAATCTATGGCAGAGGGGTGGAAACATCTCTCCCAGGTCAGATGAGCTAGCCAGTAGTGAAAAAAACTAACTAAAGTCCAGGGCTTTTTCTATCCAATACAAAGTCAGTACTTACTGTAAAATCTACATTATTTTGCAGAGGATGTACCAATAATAAATAATTGGCTTATCTTTATAATACTGTATTATCATTACTGAAATTTAGTACTTGTGACTATCAATAATATGATGCTCTTAAGTATTATTGCTGCTCAGAATTTTTTGCGGTATATCTGACTTGTGCCCATATTGAAATTGTGACTTCCTTGTGGTCACAATTGTGATAGGCATAATTTTTTAATGCTCCTTATGTCCTTTAATAAATATATACATATATGAACTGCCTCACATATATGTATATGAACTGTGGGAAAGAGATTGACATAAATATATTTATATTTTAGAGTAATACTCCATGACTCAAAGTAGACATGAACAACTCTCATTCTGTATGGCTGCAGGCGAGCTGGTTTTAAGAGGGAGAAAGTTGAGAAAAGTCCTCATTTCTTCTTATCAAGCATTTGGTGGTGTCCCTGATAATGAGTGTTTTGGGGAGCTTAAGAGATTGGTAAAGGTTGGAATAGAAATAAAGGGAATGATGAGACTGCTGATTAAGCCTTAAGACATGTGGTAAAATATGCAGACCAAATGGCTCAATAAATTAGTAGCTAATAATAACCAAGGAATTTGGTCAAGAAATTACTAGGTGTCTGGCATTCCTTTCAATACTCTGCCTGTATTAAATCATCTACACCTCACAACACCTCAGGTACTCTTCCTGTTTTGTGGATGAAGAACTTGAGGCTCACAGAGGTTGGATCGTTTGCCCAAGAGAACCAGCTCCAAAGTGTCAGAGTCAGGACCCAAACACTGAGGACGACCAAGGCACATGCCCCCAGGCACCGCGTGATGGTTAGGACAAAACCAGGTAAGGACAGTCGGCCCTCCATATGTTCTGGCTTCTCATCCAAGAATTCAACCAACTGCAGACAAAAATGTTTTTAATTTTAATTGTTATTCAGATACAGTTTTCTGCCTTTTACTCCTATCCCAGCCCTCCCCACCTCCCTCCCATTTCTATCCCCCGCCCTTGTTTTTGTCCATGTGTCCTTTATATTTGTTCCTACAAAAAATATTTTTGAAAAATGTTTTGCTGGTGTGCACTATGTAGTTAGGCCATGAAGGCTGCATCTGTCCTGAACATGTAGATCTTTTCTTGTCATTATTCCCTAAACAATGCAGAATAACAACTATTTACATTGTATTTACATTGTATTAGGTGTTGTAAGTAATCTAGAAGTGATTTTAAGCATCTGGGAAGATGTGAGAGGTTATAGGCAAATACGATGCCATTTTATATAAGGGACTTACTTAAGTATTCACAGACTTTGGTATCTGCGGAGGTCCTGGAACTACTGCCCCAGGGACACTGAGAGATGACTATATGTGGTGTTTAAGACAGTCTTCCTATGTATTCACCCACCCACTCCTTACCCACCGAACACACATATACATAACCACATATTCACACACATTCCACCTCAGGAGTACAGGTAACTAGTTATCATGTACTCTTCTTCTTCATAGGACTTCTCACATATGTACAATGAGTCCTATGACCAACCTCCACTCTCCCACATTTTGTTAAGGTAAATGAAACGAATACTGAATCCGGGTTACAAACATCCGCACACGCGTAGCCCATACATAGCAGAAATTCAACTCAATACAGATTTTTCTTCTCCCATTATCCAGGGAAATGCATGAGTTGATGCCAAAGACATTTGGCTCAGGGAGTGGAAATGGGGAGGCAATGTTGAAATGAGGTAAGAAATTCCAGGACCAGAAGGTGGACGCAAGTCATCAACTGCTTTTCCCCGGAGCAGGCTCTTTTGGACGAACAAGCACCAACCCTCTGCCTGAGCCTCCAGTCCCGTTGGCCAGATTCTGAACCGGGCTCGGGTTGGAGCAGATGCACACACCACGGGGAGTCTTATTTGCAAGACCTGAGTGTTCCCTGGCTGTTTCAATGCTTGCCGCAGGGCCGGGGAAGGAGGATTTGTCAGAAATCGGGAACTGTGACAGCCAAGTGTTCTCCTGCAAAGACTAGGCCCCCCAGGAGCAGCGAATCCTGACTTGCACAGCGCTTAATGATTCACGGGAAAACAAGTTTCTCTTCTGCCTTGCTTGCACTTTTGCAGTCAGCTCCCGCAGCTGCGGGCAGCATTGGGCGACATCCTGCCAGGCTCCAGTGTTTGGGCGCTGCGGGGGACTGGGACACTAGCCAGCGCTGCCCCCAGAGGCTAGGGCTGAGGGCCACAGAGAGGCTCCAGAATGGCCCCTCGCTGATCCCCAAGGATGAGGTGGGCCCTGATAAATACCCTTCCCGTCCAGATAACAGAAAGGCCAAGTTCAAACACAGGGTGTCCAGCTTAGGGCAGATCTGGAAAGGAAGCCGAGAGATCCGGTCAGCTGCCCCCGCCCGCCTCGCTGCACAGCACAGCACAGAGGAGCCAGCTAACCTTGGAGCCAGAGCCGGCAACTGCGCCTGCGTGCTCCGCCCGCCCCCTAACTGCTTTCCTAGGCCAATCTCCCGTGGGCCGCTGTCGCTTAGCAACGCATGAGTCACAATCGAGATTCCCCGGGCGCCCGTTTCCTGGCCGGGTTTAGTCCCTGGTCATCCTTGAGGCTCTTCGCTGCCTCGTGTCAGGTCTTAGGAACCCATGGAGGGAAAGGATGATAAGCAGCAGTAAGTGCTGGGCTTTGGTTTTCTAGTTCTCCTTCCAAACCAGTATTTTCCTCTGGGAAAGAAGGTTGAGTGAAAACTGAGGGGTGGGTCCTCAGGGCTGTTCCTCTTCCGATCCCCCTCTTCCCTCTCATTTCTAGTAGTTGAGGACTTACAGAGATAACCTTTTAAAACGCAGTTTACTGGGTATCTACTGTATGTCAGGGCCGTTACAGGTATTGTCTAGCCTAAAATTCTTGGTCATCTCGAATCTCGCACTCCTCCTCACACACCACATCTAATTTGTTAGCAAATTCTGGAGGCTTTACCTTTTATTTTATCCAGAACCCACCATGGTTCATGCCTTACACTACCATCCCCACCCTGGTCCAAGCACTAGCGTCTCTTACTTGCATACTACTTGCTTGCTCGCCTGGTTTCTCTGCAGCTTCTCAACACAGCCTTCAGAGTGGTCTTTTTATAGCACAAGTTAGATCACTCCATTGGCCACTGCAGAGTGAAAGCTAAGGCTCCGACATGGTTAGGGGCCTACGCACCGTGCCCCTTTTCCCTGACTTGGCCTCAGCTTCTACTTGCCCTCTGACTCCACTCTGCACCAGCACACAGGCTGCCTTGCTGTCAGCAACTGTCGGGGTGTCGTCCCAGACCAGCACCAACCGGGAACTTCCTAGGTATGCACCTCCTGCAAGTTCCCCAGCTTGGATTTACCGAACCCAAAACTGAGAGTGGGGTACCATAATCTGGGTTTGGTCATGGCCTCCAGGTGATTCTGATGTGCCCTCAATTTTAAGAACGGTTGAATCAAGCTCGTTGTGACGTGGAGCCAGTAGTAACCGCTTCCAAAGCCTATATTTTTGTTACATCAGTGGTTCTCGCGTATGTAAGAATCGCCTGGAGAGTGGCTAGAACCGTTTCCTGGGAACCTGCCCCAGAGATTATGTTTTTAGTAGGTTAGGATGGGACCTATGAATTGTATTTCTAACAAGCTGATGGTTGATGCCAATGTTGCTACACTGAAGACCACGCTTTTGAGAGGCACCATTCTGAGGACAGGTACACTTCTGCTGTGGAGCTCTGGCCATAATAGTTCACTCTGCTGCAATTCTCTGCCCCAGTATCCACCTATCATTTTCAATTGTCACCTTATCTGAAGTGCGACCCACCTCCCACAGTTGTGCACACCTTTTCCCCCATTCCCTGCCTTGTTGCCGTCCTCAGCACTCGGCACCATGTAACAGAATGCAGGCACACCTCACTTCATTCTGCTCCGCCTCATTGCACTCCACAGATGTTGCACTCCGTGCACATTGAAGCAACACCTTCCACCAGCAAAAAGATTACACTATCTTTATTGAGATGCTTGTTTCATCGTGATACTTGCTTTATTGTGATGCTCTGGAATCAAACAGGCACCATCTCCGAGGTCTGCCTGCACATGTTTTACTTACTATTTCTGATCTGCCTTCCCCACTAGAATGTAAGCTCTGTGAAGGCAGGAATTTTTGTTTGCTCACTCCTGTATCTTCGGTGCCTCAAAACTCATACCTCAATAACTATCTGTTGAAGAAATGAGTTATTCAATGTTATTCATACACCTCTTGCAGCAGGTATCATTGTTTTTATTCTGCAAATGAGGAAACCAAGGCTCAGAGGGTAAATGGCAGGGCTGCAATTCCAGCCCAGGTCTGATTTACTTCCAGTCCATTAGTGTTTTAACTGTCTTTTCTTTCCAGTAAAAGATTACTGTGGAATAATATATTTCCCGTTTATGTATAGTTATACACCATGAGTACTTAATTGATGAGTGCTTATGAATGCAAGCAGGTAGCCACAGTCCTTTCCTCCAAGGACCCGATTCCAGTCCAAGTGTATTGCTGGGTTATAACTATGAGAAGCATTTGAAAAAAAAACTAATGTCAGAAAAACAGAGTTGAATCAATCACAGTCTTTAAATAAACAATTATATCTCTGAAAAGGTGATAGAAAAAGCCTTAGAAATTCTTTACACTTTGCCAGTAATTTGTTTTTCAAATTCTTTACAGAGTAATTTTTGTTGGGATGCAGGGAACTAAATTCCATGGGAACTGAATGTCGTCCATGTGTGCTTTAGAGTAGGGGCTGAGGGTGTCCAGCTAAAACAAAGCCAGAGTACAAACAATTCCGGGAGATTCACTAGTGATAGTAAATATTATAATGGCTCTGGATATAAATACATAATGGCTCTAGATGGTGGGTACCTAATGATGAGAGAAATACAATCTTTGCCTTATGGAACTTACTGATTAGTGCTTACCTAAAACAAGCAAGCAAAAAGTAGGTATATAAATGTCTAATTGTGGTGTTCTGAAAGAAATGCAGGAAATACTAAAATGGAGACTACGTGAGATCAGAAAGGGGAAACCCAGGAGAGGTCCCTGAGATGACTTTTAAACTGCGGTGTCGATGTTAGTGAACTAGCTGCTCAGGGCACTGGGAACGGGCCAGTCCAGGCAGGGGAAGGCAGTGTGTGCAAGTGCCTGAGAGGACAGGGACTGGTGCTGAACGAAGCGGCGGGCGTGGCTGGAGGAGTGAGGGAGAGGGGCCCGCGTACAACTGAAGACATTAGCTGAAGCAGGGTCACCCTGTGATGAGAAGGCAGCATTTCCCCGTAAATGCGATGGGAAGCCATTTAAGGCTTTTAATTTAAAAAAGGACTTGATGAAGGGGACAGAACTGGCTTTGGTTTGAAGAAAGGTAGGGATTACATGTTAAGGGCCATGTATTATGCTAAACAGAATCATTCCCTTTCCCTATAAATTGGACTCACATTCACTCACCTTTCATGGGTCAGGGCTTTGATTTTAAAAGCTTCTATGTAAAAGTTTCCTAATTCATATATTTCATTCCTGCCTTTACTTTTCAAGTATAGGACATTTAAAATACTCCCATTCACAATGTCTATTACTCCTTTTTTTAAAAGGAGAAAAATTCCATACACTGTGTATTTGTAAGCATTTCTTTAACATTTTAAAGAATTCAGCAGCTTTCATTTTTTTGTTCTAGTGTCATTGCTAAAAGCAAAAAAAGATAAGAAATTGAATTGTTCTGACCTGCGCATAGTGGTCTTTTCTTGATAAATAGTAGTGGTCATTCGGTAGCTTTATAAGTTTGCCAGGGGAGCTTTTAAAATTAAATAGTTGTCCTTTTCCAGATAGCTGAATCAACTAGGTAACTAACTTTTAAAGACGAGTTAAGATTATGTGACTGCCACATGAAGAATACCGCAAACACGATTTGTAAGCGTGATCCATTCACTTCTCCTTTCCTCCAAGCAGTGAGAGTCTGTACCCTGCACGGCAGCCTGCCCTGAGTAACTGTCAACACAAACACTTTTATCTCAGATGACTCAGGGCAGGAAGATGCCCTGTGCAGTCGTGACTCTCAGGACTGGAATGCCGACTGGGGATAATGTACTGTTTAATTCTGTTTTTCAGACCACATACAATAGAAGATCCTGGTATAGTGTATGTGACTGAAAAAAACCAAGAATTCAAACATGAAAAAGAACCTGCAGCAAGTACACCACGATCAAAACCTGTCAGGAGAGGACGCGTATATTATGCTAAATTCATTGACACAAACGCAAGAACATACAACGATCCAGTTCCCTACATGGAGCCCCAGAAAGGGTCTGAAAATCAGGTCAGACAGATGTTCCTTATATACAAAGAGAGATTTAGATTCAGAAGCTGTTTTGCTTAAAAGATGTGACATATTTCAGACTAGTCATTTTTATAATCCAATAGTTAAAAGCAGTAACCTGGAACTATTCTCAGAAATAATTTTCACATACAACTATGTGTATATATAAATACATATATACACATATGCATGTAATTGCATATATTCCATATGTATTTCATAGATATATTCTGTATTCATTCTAGAAAAATGATTATTTGGATTCCTTCCATATATAAATATAGCCACCATAATATGCTTGGAGGTTACTGAAAAAATCTACTGTATTTTTTTACATATTCTAACATAAAAATTTTCCATGATACTCAGTAATTCAGATACTTTCTATAAAATAATAGCTACCACTTATTGAGAATATATGAAGTGTTAGGAATGAGCTAAGTGTTTTATATAAGTTATATCTTTGAATCTGCACAATAATTTCTAGGAGGTATTATTGGAAATACTTTACAGATGATAACATATTCCAGAACAGTAAATTAAGATGTCTGAGATTACATAGCAAGCAAATGTCATAGTCCTGTCTCCAACCCAGGACTGTTGCTTTAGCCAAGCCGCACTTTTATTCACTATTATACTAAATATATTCCATTATCTTCTTTTTCTTAAAGTCACATTTGTTGTGATAATTTACTGTATTAGTTTCCTATTGCAGCTGTTACAAATTACCACAAATTTAAACAATAGCTTAAAGCAACACAAATTTATTCTCTTGCAGCCCTGGAGCTTGGAAAAGTCAGTCTCATTGGCTATTGGCAGAGTGGGCCCCTTCTGGGGCCTCTAAGGGACAATCTGTTTCCAGCTTCCAGAGGCTTCCCTGCACTCCTTGGCTCCTGACCCTTCCTGGTCTGAGCCAGCAGCAAAGCATCTTCAAATCTCTCTCTGCCTCTCCTGCCTACCCTCTTCTAAGGCCCCTCGTGATTACATTAGACCCGCCCAGGTAATGCGATAGTCTCCCCTTCTCAAGATCCTTAACTCGATCCTGGCCCCAGTGGTTCCTTTTGCCATGTCAGGCTGGGCATAGTTTTGAGTTAGGTTTAGCTGTGCTTTAACTTAATATTTAATTGGAGATGCTTTTAGAGGGTTCTCTTTACAATAATAACATCATCTGTTCTTGTCATGTAGTAAACCTTTTTACGAGGGCAGTTTTAAGACTATTTTATTTCATAAAAACTAGTCTGGGATTTAAAAGAAATTGATAGACTATGTCTACATTGGGGAAATAAGTCTATACAGAAAAGAGGCTGATGTAAGAATCAAAACAGGAAAAATAAATAAATAAACAAAAGTGTTCAGAGCTTCGGCCAGTAAGACTGGGTGACAGAGTAGCCGTAGAATCTTCACTAGTGATAAAAGCTAAAGAAGTCAGAGACCTTTAAGAGATGGTATGGGTAGGTCTAAAATGAAGTAAAAGGGTGGGTAAGAGGCTGAGAGTAGACGGAAATAAGAAGTTACAAAGGAAGACCGAAGATGCCTCTGGGTTAAAAGCATGTTTGACTCGGGTATGGAGTGAAGAGAATGTTCATATTTAGAAAGTAAAACAACAATAAAAGCCCTTAAAAGTACTCACTTCCAAGTATCTGTGGAGTAATAAAGTGCTCATTTCACATACTTCAAAACTTTGTTCTTTTATTGTAGATGATAGGTTTCTTTTTAAAAGTTAGCTTGAGTTTTAGAAAAAAGGAACTGATTTATGGTAATACTAGCTTTAAAATAAGTGTAATTAAACTGAAGTTGCCTAAATATTTAAATAGACATATTTGGTATCTTAAAGGATTTTGCTAAGATAATATCTTTAGAACACCAGATGGTTGATTTTATTTATTTACAAAATTTTTAAATAAGGTAATCAGTTATACAGTTCTACCTAGAGACATAAAATTGGGGGTGTTAGCAGACGTAAAAAGGTGTCTTTAGCTCATTCACTTCCAATGAAAACGAGTTTAGTTATCTTTTAGTTATCAATATTTAAAACACCAATTTAAATAAAGGTATTTTAAGAGACACTATTTTCCAAAGTGTTTTTTTCCCAGCAGTATACTTTTCAGAGCACTAGACCTTGCTTATGTGCTCAAAAAATAAATTCAAAAGTCACATAATATTTTCAAAAAGTTGTATTTTTATCTACCCTTCCGAGAGCTTCACAATTCACATTAGTATATAATGGTTCTGAGAAATCCTGATAAGCTTGATTAATTTTCCTTATCTCAATTCTTCCCAAATGTATTTGGGAAGAAATCATATAGTTAAATGTATTTAACTATAGACACCTCTTTTACGTAGCACCTATTAATATGCTGCAGAACTAATGTTCCACAGAACACAATTTAGGAATAACTTACTGGAGACATTACGAATGGCTTACAAAGAGGTAGTTTTCAGCACTCCTTCTGGTACCCACAGCACACTAGAGATGACCTCGGATAGAATGTAACTCGAGTCCTTGTGACAGACAGCACTTCAATTTTTAAAGCCACTAAGCTCAACTAGTCAGATGTGATTGCCTCTGTGTAAGGTGTTATTGAAAGTCCGTATTTCCAATCAATATAGCGGCACAGGTAAATTCAGTTCTTGAATCCTCCTATAACCACATCAAAACTATGAGTAAACTGTAGAAAAACCATCATTCAGAACCACCCAAAGTGGTGGGTTCTAGCTGAGCAGAAGTCTCACAACTAAGGATATAAAGAAGGAGCCACATGATTGGTAGAAAGGGCTGAGACGCAAAACAGGCTAGTCCTACACCATGTATGTTGGATAAAAATCAGGAGGGCTATCTCAGCTGCAGAGTTCCCCCATGTACCATGTTAGAGCAAGGGGTCCCAGCCTCACACCAGGTTACCTGCCCCAGGGTTGTAGCGTTAGGAGACATCCTCATAACTTGTTGTAATAAAAACAAGCGGGGACTGTGGCTGAGTGAGGAGGGCTCTGAAGTTCCAGGCAGCCTCTTTTAAAGGGCCTGCACACAGACTTACTCAGACTCACTACCTCTGAGCTCTAGTGCTGGGGCAGCATCTTGAAAGGCACCAGGGACATACAGGGAGGAACTGAATTGTCTGGCCTCGGGGGAAGGGCTGGAAGGGCAAATTTCTACCAGAAGTGCTGGTGGAGGCCATTCTTCCATTTCTGAGCCCTTCTCCCTCAGAGCTGGAAGGCAGAAGCCATATCTGAGTCTCCATCAACCTATCACTATTCACTCACCCCTGTGATTCTGAGGCCATGCTCCACCCACCCAACTTGTGGGCCCACCCACATTATTTCCAGTGGCTTTTCCATAAGAATGGCCTGTCTTGGTTCATGCTTCAGACTTTTCTAAAATCTCCCAAACAAGCAGCATCTATCTGGCTTTATACCTTTCTCGAAGTGGCCCCAGGCCCAGCACTAGCAGCAGCCGGCCTTGGGCTTCCTTTGCGCTTAGCCTCTCCTGAGCACCTCCCAGTCCTGCACAAGTAGCAGTCATCTACAAATCGCTTTGTAGCTCATGCCAGCTGGCCCAAGGCAGAAAACAGGTAACAGCTGACCTTAGCCGGCACCTCCTGGGAGGCCCCAAAGCCAAAGCACCCAGTGGACATCTTCAGACCATGTCACAGTACCACCCAACCACCTCCACAAGTGACACACTCAGGGGACAGACTCAGTGAGCACCAGAGCCCCACTGAAGTAAGTACTGCTCTGTGGGGTGGGCCCCTGCACAGCTTATCCTCCACAGTGGTCACAGCCAGTGCTGATAGCCTATCAGCCGGGGGCAGTCCCTCATATTGATGTGCTAACATAATCAAGGCTCAACTACAACAGAATGGTGTACACGAGAGACAGGGGCATACCTGGAGTGTCCAGCTCAGGTGAATGGGGAGGCTGTGCCACTGGACCCTACAAGACACCTACTGCATTAAGCCACTCTACAAAGACTGGGAGACATACCAGCTCTACTTAACACATAAAAACAAAAACAGGGAGGCTGCCAAAATGAGAAGACAAATGAAAAAAAAAGTGCAGAAAAAGAAATAAAAAATGGAGACGCACAATCAATTAGAGGCAGAGTGCAAAACACTGGTTATAAAAATGCTCAAAGAACTTAGTGAAGACCTCAACGGCATAAAAAAGATCCAGTCAGAAATGAAAGATACAGTAAGTGAAATGGAGAATAATTTACATGGAATCAACAGCAGAGTAGATGAAGCCAGTAGAATCAAAACAGTGATTTGGAATATAAGGAAGCAAAAAACACATAATCAGAACAGCATAAAGAAAAAAAGAATTCTTAAAAACGAGGATGGTGTAAAAAGTCTCTGCGACAACTTCTAGCATACCAATATTAGCATCATGGGGGCACCAGAAGGAAAAGAGAAAAAGCAAGGCATTGAAAACCTATTTGAAAAATAATGACAGAAAACTTCCCTAACCTGGTGAGGGAAATAGACATGTCCAGGATGTGCTGAGTCCCAAACAAGATGCACCCACAGAGGCCCACTCCAAGACATATCATAATTAAAATGCACAAGGTTAAAGCCAAAGAATCTTAAAAGCATCAAGAGAAAATAAGTTACCTACAAGGAAGCTCCCATAAGACTGTCATCTGATTTCCCAACAAAAACTTGGCACACCAGAAGGGATCGGCAACAGATATTCAAAGTAATGAAAGCAAGAACCCACAGCCAAGCTTATTATTTGGCTACCCAGCAAAGCTCTATTTGGAAGGATGTATAAAAAGATTCCCAGTCAAGAAAAAGCTAAAGGAGTTCATTACCACCAAATCAATATTATATAAAATATTAAAGAGTCTTATTTAAGAAGAAAAAAAGATTAAAATGTGAACAATGGCAAAAAATACATAGTTATCAACAATTGAATCTAAGCACAAAAGAAACAAATAAGCAGAACAGAAACAGACTCATAGATACAGAGAACACTTTAATTAACACTCGCCAGATGGAGGGGGTGGCTATAGGGATGGGCACAAAAGGTGAAGGGATTAAGAACCGCAAATTGGTTGTTATGGAATAGTCATAGGGACATAGAGTACAACAGAGGGAATATAGTCAATATTCTAATACCTGTGTATGGTGTCAGATAGGTACAAGGTTAATCAGGATGATCACTTAGTAAGTTATACATGCAGTCACTGGGGTACACACCTGAAACTAATATAATATTGTATATCAACTGTAATTGAAAACTAGAAAATGATTTTTAAAAAGTCCTCATTTTCCTAGGAACCTATCCCAGTGTGATTTTAGGTCCCACACTTGCCACCACCAGCAGCCGTCTTGGCTCACTGTGGCTGCTACTGTAGGCCTCAGCTTACCACCTCTGGTTTCTTTCAACTGGTTTCTCCAGGATGTCTCACTTTCTTTTCCTACTTATCTCCTGAGGATTCTCCCTTAATTTCCCAAAGAATGGAAAATAAGCAATGTCTACTAACGCATTTCTGAAGGCTTACAGATAACACAAATGTTAACACAGAGACCGCTTCACAGTGGATTCCAAATTTGACTAACAGGTTTATTGTGCAATGGTTGTCGGGCCTTCCAGGGGCCAGGGGTTCGTGGGAGCCTCATCATCAGGAATCTCCTGGCATCGCCCCACCATGGAACCTCAAAGACTGTCGTCCTGGGGCAGGAAAGGAGACAGGCCTTGGGCTGGAAGGGAAGAGGGCTTCCTTCTATCTTTGGGTCCGAAGTCTCTTTTGTTTGGTTGCTTTAAAGACTGTATTTATTTCTATGTATTTTTTAAAGATTTTATTTAGATAGAGGGGAAGGTAAAGAGAGAGGGAGGGAAACATCAATGGTAGCCTCTCACATGCCCCCACCTAGGGACCTGGCCCGCAACCCAGGCATATGCCCTGACCAGGAATCAAACTGGTGACCTTTGGTTAGCAGTCTGGTGCTCAACCCACTGAGCCACATCAGCCAGGGCTGGTTCAAAGTTTTGAACTGAGAACAACAATCCTTTTTAGACAAAATCCCCTCTACCATCTGCCAGTGTTGTCTGACCCCTAAAGCCTAGACAAATGGTAGACAGAATAATAAATTTTTAGCCTTTCTTTTTAGAACGAGGTGAAGGGAAAACGAGCCTCCACCTATATCTTTAATCTTATAATCTCTTATAAGCAACTGCTCGGACCAAAAAGGCAAGCACGTGTGCAGGGTTGCAAGCATGCTCTCACTGTTCCAGGGACAACCCAGACTTTTCAGGGACAAGGGCACCGTACCCAGAAATAGAAATGACATGTTCTGAACGGTAGGAGTTCATCCTGTTGAAATGAAAATCCACCCGATTTACAGCACAATCAGGCACCAACTGTGGGGTCTTAAAGTCATCAATGACATTTAGGAAAAAGTGTTCATTACTTTCCTTTGTGAAATTAAAGAGACCATTTTGGTGAAATTCTAAATTCAAAAGAATTCTCGAAAATCGAATCGGTATCTGCTTTGAAGATAGTTTTTGCATTACACTCCTGTTTGAGGAAAAAGAAATTGATGTCTGCCAGGCAGTTCCTAGTGGTTCACTTATCCCAGACTCCTTTTTCCCAGTTACTAGTTATTAGCCAAAAAGGTTTCCAATCAACAAAAGAAGATGATAGAAAGTGCAAGTCCTTAAAACATTATCGCAGGAGATCCTTCTGAGGATACTCACTTGGCACCCTTTTATTGATTTTTATTTTTTTAAACTTTTTAATGTATATTTTATTTAACTGTTCAATTACAGTTTTCTGCCTTTTCCCCCCACCCACCCCTTTATTTTTACTTTTGATGTAATTTAAGTAAGTTTGTCCTCGTCTGGCTTTGCATTCCATAGCAGATTTGACACAGCAATGTGGTGTGGAAATCAGAGGTGTCCGTGGGCGGGTGTGCGCTGTGGCAGCTTTCCTGCCTGCTGGTGATGGACCTCGGGGAAGTTACTTCATCTGCCAGCAGTTTCCTCATCTGTCAAGGGGGTTCTCCTACCTGGTGGAATTCTGGTTAGCATGAGAGCAGGCCTATGCATGCTAGACCTCTGGGTGTAATGAGCACTGTCGTAATCATGGGGCTGCAAGAACCAGGCACGCTGACAGCAGTAAAACCTTCTCACTGTCCGCCAGATAGTGAGAAGGCACCACCTGTCTAGTACTCTGCTCTAGGACTCCTAGGATCTACATCAAGTAGTTTTTATTTATTGTAACTCACCTTTTAACCCGTTCTGAAAACAGAGGCAGCTGGTCGCTCCTATTCTCCAAAATTCCCTGCTTCTGAAATTTCTTTGATCTCTGCAAATTTATTTGTTACTTCTGGTTACGATTTGTCATTGTCCCCACAGCTGGCACTCATTTAAAGTTGCAAAGTGAGGTCTCTCTTCATGTGTGCATGTTCTTCCCATCTTTCTCAGTGTGAAGAGAATTTCCCTTAACAAAGAACCTAAAGTTGAACAGCTCTGACGTTAAGCTCTGAAGAATGTACTTCTCCAAATTTTTAGTCTTTCATTATTTTCTTGCTCCAACAGAATCCGTCCCCCGCCCAAAAACCCTGTGGGTTACAACAGGCATTGTAAAATAAAATAGAAGGCAAAAGTAATGAAATAAAATAGAAAAATAGCTAACTGCACTGCATGTAGTAGGAATAAGTATTGTTTTTCTGATACTGTTCGAGTTCTATGCATGTGTATGCCTTGTGTGCTACTTGCGTAACAATATAAAATGTATTTCACGGTGTGGGGCATGGACTAAAACCTTGAAAAACCACCATTTTGGACAATAATACATTATCTATATTGTCATAATAAAAAGTATGAAACATAATTTTTAGATTAAATCTTATTTAATATATATGCATACATGCGTACATATATAACAAAATTGTGTAAAAGAGAAATATAACATGATTTTTATAACTCCATCTGTTAATAGAAGGTAGTTTAAGAATTTAGCATCTGTATTTTAACTAAATATATATATATTTCATTTTCAGATGTCTTACAAAATATGTGAAAATATGTTCCTGGATTTTAGAACTTAGTTTCAGAATATCCAGGACTTGCTGAATCGAATTACAGAACATTCAAAGACATTAAACAGCACACAGAAATGTCCTACAGTGTCCAATTTGGTGTTTTCATCTTCTTTTCACACAGGGTGACTGGTGGTCATATGATAAAGGACTAGAACATCACTTCCAACCACCTTATGATACTAAGAGCACCCAGAGGACTGACTTTCGAAAACCAGCATGTCCATTGGTTTTGCCAGTCAAACACAGCAAGTTGCAAAAGCCTTCATGTGGAATAGGTGAGTTAGCCGTGGTGAAACCTCTCTATCATCTCAGGTTACTCCTATCACTTAAGGTGTGTGAGACCTGCCAGCAGCTCCTGAAAATTTTTCTTCATTACAGGAGTTGAAACTATACAAGTGCAGCCCTTGACAAGTTTATTCTTCATCCCTTCCTGGGCACAGCTTATCTCCAAACACATTTAATATAAGAAAATTGTACTGATCATTAAACACCACCTTCCATGTCAGAAACTTAGTAGCATTCTGTTCTCTATGGCCACCAAATTTAAAAAATTGTAACTATTAAAACAGTAGGCAATACTATAGGGCAGTATTTCTCAAAGTGCAATCAGAGGGGTACTAGTTCTTTCTTATGTTTATAGATGCTCGAAAAAACGGGAAGTGGTCAAGTAACTTTGCAAAAACTGAATGTATACAGTTAAATGGATATATATATATATATAAACATGTATACACGCATATATATAAATTTGACTACAAACCCTTATTCTAAGCATAAACATAATAAATTTCCAGGAAGAGGAGTAAAGAATGCTGGTTCCCACTTACTGACCACTTCACTATTTTTCAGGATATCATCTCACATGCCTGATAACCCACAAAACACAACATTAAGGTGGTCATATTCAGTACGATGACCACCTTAACCGGCGGTATTTAAGGGAGAGGGCTGTCAGATAACCTGTAACAATGGCCTCTGGCTTAGATAGAAAGGTGGTAATGTTTCCTCTTCTGATTTAGGATGGTAAACAGAATACAAATACAGTAGTACCTCCATCCTCATTGTTAATTCATTCTGAAACTCTTGACAAGCGCCAAACCGATGAGTTCCCAACAATGAAGTATTTACTCTTGCTGGGCAATGGTGTGACTCACAAGTTCTAGCAAGTGCAATGAGTCCCAAGGAATGCTGAAACTTTTTTTTCCCCCTCATCAAAATGCGATGAGTAGAGTTTGACAAATTCTGAGGCCAAGGAGTACGGAGTTACGACTATATCTAAATCCTTGGCCTCCCAAGAGCCTACAGAATGATAAAAAATCAACTGACCCACAAAAATAAAGAGAATGTAAGGAAGAATCTTCTGGAATGTGGGAATAATGAAAGCCTGATAATAGATAAAAGAGAGCAAAGGAGCATTAGCCTAAAATATATAGCAGATGCAGTAAACATGAGCCAATCCACCTGACAAAATCCCACAGTAGCTTTAGGCTCAATCAACAGGCATAACAGAAGGGAAACGAGGTGGGGAGGATCAGAGGGTTACTTGAATATCACAGAGCATAAAAGAATGACAACAAAAAGCAAGAAAATATGAAATGATAAAAGCAAAATGGAGAATAAAATGATTCTCCAGAAGAGAAGAATCAGTTTGATTCTTCAAGAAGTTTGGAAGATCCAACTTCTCCAGAGCTCCAGGAATAAAGAGTAAAAATTGAAGGTTAGACATTACCAATGTCATAACAGGGGAGCCCAACGCCGGAAATGGGGAAGGGTGAAGTGCCAGGCCAGTGAGCGCATGCATATATTGCTGCAGCGACCAGGATAATCAACGCACACAGGACTCCGCAGAAAAGAAGCACAATGGGTTGACTCTTGGTGCTAGGGAGGTGATTGAATGGGAGGGACGTACCCTCCCAGCTGCTTCCACTGCAGGAAGAATAATGGGGTCTTTAAAAGCAAGTGCACAGAAAACGCATGCTTCTGCACTCCCCTCCCCTAGCTGGCTGATGGGTGGCTAGGGGCTCGGGCTCCTGAACCGGTGGGCCTTGGAGGAGCCTCGTCATCTGGTAGCACTCCCCACGCCCCTCCCCACGCCCCTCCCCAGGTGCTGCAGGACCTGCCCTAGCAGGAGCACTGAAGATGCTAGGCTGGAAGAGGGGAGGTTCGGAGGTTCGGGCCAGAGTGTACTAGGAGGCGGCTGGGCTGGGCCCACAAGCCCCGTAGCTCTCCTCTGTGCAGGGAACCGATGGAAGCCATCAGTGGTGGCCACCGCTCCACCACCTGCGTGCTTCTCCGTGGCGGAGTCCCATCAGTAGTGGCCACCCTCTTGCCTGCAATGTGGGCCTGTCAGCAGCTGGCGCTGCGCTTCTCCCTGCAGATCAGTGGCTAACTGCCAGGAAGGCATGAAGGCAGTGCCCCTATGCCGCTCGCACAATCCTCCAGCCAGGGTCCAGACAACGGCAGCATCCTCCATCGCTGCCGCTCAGCCTGCTCCTGCCCAGGCGGGGCCTCGGACCCACCACAGTAACCCCACCACACTAACGGGTGGGATTAGCAGCGGCAGGAGAAAAAGGAGAGCATCCTGCCAGTAGGAGTCCTGGGCCTGGGTGCACAGACTCCGGAGAATAAAAAGGATGGTACTTTGGATGGGAGGAGAGCTTCCTGGTGCATCCTTGAACTGAGCGGGCAGAGGGTGGCAGGGTAATTTTCTTTGGGGCCTTTGAGGCAGAAACCTGCCATTATTTCAAACTGTATATACTCTAAATAAAAGATGCCTCTTCCTTCCCACCAGACTCTGTCTCCAGAGTTTCTGCCTGTGGGCAGTGTGTGATAGGACCCCACTGGCTGTTCCCGAACAGCACCAGGCTGTGGTGACAATACCACACATTCCCTGAGAACCTATCATTTGCCGGGGCTTTTACGGAGCTTTCTAAATATTGACTCATTTGATTCTGACACAAACACTATGGAATAGTATAGTAACACAATTAATAGTCTCACTTTTCAGATAAAAAGCAAGCACAGAATATAAGTAACTTGCCCAAAGATACACAGCAAAAAATTGGTGTTTGAAGTCAGTCTGACTCCAATAGCTGTAATAATCAGTGCTCTACACAGCTTCTAGAATAATAGTAAGAAAGTTACTCAATATAAAAGAGAGGTGATAAAGGACTCAAGGACATGGACAGTGTGGTTGTTTGGGATGGGGAAGGGCAGGGTGTAAGGGAGATAAATGGTAGTGGAAAAATACAATTTAAAAAAAATAAAAGGGGCATTAAAAGGATCGACTGAGTGCTTCAGAGTATGAAGGAGAAAAAATATCCAGCTATCACAATGAAATAGCAAAATAACAATTATAAAGAGAAGATGCCATAAAGAGAAAGAAAAGTCACCATCTAAGGAATAAGAATGAATATGGAATCAAGCAGCACTGAGACAAGAGCACAATGTAGTTGACATCTTCAATGTTCTCGATGTTTTTACCTACCAGAGAGGATTTATTTGACATGGACACTAGATTCTTTTTTCCAGTGGCACTGGGCATTAGACGCTGAGAAAGAAACATAGTCCTGGAACAATAGTTGGACCATAAGTGAACAAAATTCAATTATATTGTAACTGCTCTTTAGCAGGTATCAACTTTTAGCCTCAATCTATAAACACGTTATAGAAAATTTGAATATGGTTACAGAACATAATTATGTTACCAGCCTTGACAAGAAAGTGGATATACAGGTGACAAGATGAGAAGTAGAAGACCAGAGTGCTGATACCATTTGACATGCCCACTCGAGACACTATCCAAAGCAGATGAAATAAGGAACAGAATAGTAAGAGTCCAAGGAACGAATATAAGAACCAATTTTCGCTTTAGTCCTGGTCTCTTCACTAAACTTCAAGACTATGTATTCACCTACCTACTTAACATCTCTTTTTGGATATCTAATCTCCTTTTCAAATTTAGCATGGATAGAACAGAAAATCTCATTTCCCCCATCCAAACCTTCCTCTACTATCCCTCCCTATCTCAATAAATACCACTTCTATTCCTTCAGATGCTCAAGTTTTGATCTAGAAGTCATTCTAAAACTCCTATGATCCACATCAATCCATCAGCAATTTTTAAATACTTTATTAATTATGCTATTACAGTTGTTCCATTTCCCCCCTCACTCCCCTTCACCCTGCACACCCCTCCCACCCACATTCCCCACCTTTAGTTCATATCCATGTGTCATACTTGTAAGTTCTTTGGCATCTAAATTTCCCATACTATTCTTGCCCTCCCCCTGTCTATTTTCTACCTACCATCTGTGCTATTTATTCTCTACTTTTTCTCCCTCTCTCCCCCTCCCCTGTTGATAACCCTCCATATGATCTCCACTTCTGTGGTTCTAGCTGTTTGCTTGATTTGTTTTTGTTTTTGTTTTCGGTGTGGTTGTTAATAATTGTAAGTTTGCTGTCATTTTACTGTACATTTTTTTATCTTCTTTTTCTTAGATAAGTGCCTTTAACATTTCATATAATAAGGGCTTGGTGATGATGAACTCCTTGAACTTGACTTTATCGGAGAAGCACTTTATCTACCCTTCCATTCTAAATGAAAGCTTTGCTGGATAGAGCAATCTTGGATGTAGGGCTTTGGATTTCATGACTTGGAATACTTCTTTCCAGCCCCTTCTTGCCTGGAAGGTCTCTTTTGAGAAATCAGCTGACAGTCTGATGGGAACTCCTTTGTAGGTAACTGTCTCCTTTTGACTTGCTGCTTCTAGAATTCTCTTCTTCATTTCAATCTTGGCTAATGTAATTATGATGTGCCTTGGTGTGTTCCTTCTTGGGGCCAACTTCTTTGGGACTCTGAGCTTCGTGGACTTCCTGGAAGTGTATTTCTTTTGCCAGAATGGGGAAGTTCTCCTTTATTATTTGTTTAGATAACTTTTCCACTTGTTGCTCTTCCTCTTCCCCTTCTGGTACCCCTATAATTTGGATGTTGGAACATTTAAAAATGTCCTGGAGGTTCCTAAGCCTCTCCTCATTTTTTTTGAATTCTTGTTTCTTCATTCTTTTCTATTTGGTTGTTTCTTTCTTCCTTCTGGTCCACTCCATTGATTTGAGTCCCAGTTTCCTTCCCATCATTGTTGGTTCCCTGTACATTTTTCTTTATTTCACTTATCATAGCCTTCATTTTTTTTCATCTAATTTACAACCAAATTCAACCAATTCTGTGAACATCCTGATCACCAGTGTTTCGAACTGTGCATCTGACAGGTTGGCT